ATATATATATATATATATTTGCTGATATAACTTTTGGATTGGTGTTTGGGCAGTGATGGGGTTCATCTTGCATCAGAGGGGAGCAAAATTGTGGCGAAAGAGATAATGAGGGCCCTTGAAGAGGCAGAATGGGAACCAAGTCTTTATTGGAAGTTAATGCCATCTGAATTTGTAGGGATCTCCCCATTCGATTCAGAAGGCAATGGAACCATCATAAATTCAAAAATGTGAGGGGAAGAAGATCCCATGCCATGAAGAATACTAGGGATCTCCCCATTCGATTCAGAAGACAATAATGGAACCATCAGAAATTCAAAAATGTTAGGGGAAGAAGATCCCATGAATAATATTTCATTTATCTGCCCATCTCTCATGCCTTTCATTTGCAATCGTTTCATTGCAGATAATGTTTCTACAGATAGTAAAAATGTAATATTTATGCTCTCAAAAATATAAAAATTAATTCTTCAAACCACACGGCATGATTGTTCAAGAAAAGCTCCTTAAATTAATCACTTCACAAAAAGCATCTTCTAAGATGAGAAATGCCTTGGATTTGTTATTTTTTGGAACTTTTCCTTCGGCCTCCGAGCAGGGAATGAGTTTGAGAAAATTCTTTTGTGGGCCTTAGAAGGACAGACACTCTAAAGTAAAAGAAATTTCTTTTTTGATTCGGTGACTATACAAAATGGCAGAAAGTGCGCTATACTATTTACTGTTAAGGCAACCAATGAATCTGGCCATTCTGAACCAGGAGACGATGTTTTTTTTTTTTAAGATAGTTTTTTTTTTAAAAAAATATATTATAATAATATTTTTTTATTTTCTAAAATTTATTTTAAATATTATTACATTAAAATAACCTAAAAATAAAAAAAATTAATTTTCACACTATAAATTTGTTTGGTAGGGTTCGTTGTAATTATTTTTTAAATTATTTTTTATATTAAAATATATATCAATAAATTTTTTATTTTAAAAAAATTATTTTTGATATTAGTATATTAAAATAATTTAAAAATACTAAAAATATATTAATTAAAAATAAATAAAAAATTAAAAAAAATAATTTTTAAAAAAATACTTTTAAAATATATAAAAAAACAATTTCTATATCACGGACATCACGTTGAACATGAACCCATGCTCACACATACCAATAAACATCATCTCTCGATTTGTCACTATCCATGTACGTTGCTGCTGTCCAAGCATTTGTGAGCCTTTATGCTAGCAGCAAGCATTAGCTGGAAGAATATTTACCACGTTTTGATATCACATTATAAGGGCTACCATGTGCACTTTTAGAAATTCATTTAATATCAATAAAATTATTAATAAAATAATTCTTTCAATAATTTAAAGTTATCATCATTGACCAAATTTAATTTATTAGTAATTTTATTGATAGATACCACAGCCAAATTCCATCAATATCTACCGGTATAATGTTGAGAATATCAAAAAAAGGGTTAGTTTGCTGACGTGGAGGTTATTGCAAGTGTTTTTATCGATGGAATCACCAAAGGATTCAGAACGCCAGCTCTGTATGGTGACATGACCGATTTACTGATGAAAATGCCAACGAAATCACCTAGGAATTCAAAGCACAGCTCCGTATAGTGACGTGCCCTGTTTACTGTTAAACTAACCAACATAATCACAAACAAAATATGTCTGTTGGTGAATCTATTGGCAAGAGTTAATATATCCCCACTCTGTCAACCCCCTCCTCATTTCTTCTTCTTTTTTCCTATCCCAACTCTCCCCAACTGCAGGTAACTAGCCAAAAAAAAATCTTCATCTTCTTAGCACAACAAGTCATATTTCTTGAAGTCTTCTCGTCACAACATACGTATTCTCATTTACTGATGGATTTTTATCAATTTTTGTAAGTAATTCTATCTTTTTAAATTTTAACATTTAAATGTCAATTTTATTATTTGTTTAGTATATGTATTTTGTTTGTAGATGTATATATTTTATTGTTATTTCTCAAACAAACTTATATTATATGAATGTATAATTTTATACTTACTATGGTTTGTTTTATATTTTGTAAGATTGTATTTGTTTGTAAATTATTGAAATTTTATTGAATTACCGAATTATATGTGTTGTTTTGAAATAATTAATAGCTTGCTTAATAGATCCGTTTTAATTTTTATCAATGGTATTATAGAGTTGTAATTTTTATAAATTTATATATATATATATGTATTAATTTGTATAGACGTTGATAATTGATAATGAATATTTAATATTTATGAAAAGTTGTATTTTGTTTGTTAGATAATCTTGAAGTGAACTAATATTTTTATAAATTTATTTACCTAACATAGTTAATTAATATATGTTGTCATCATAATTTTATAAAAGTTCAATAGAAGTCATGGATGATCGTTCATAGATGTATTGAGATTCACACTAAGGATTACGAAGGATGGATTATTGTAACGAGGTTCAAGGTTTTATTAATTCCATAATATCTATTCCTAGAAATTTTACTGAAGGTGGTATTAGGTGTCCATGCAGGAAGTGTCATAATAAAGAATATATGCATCTAGATGTTGTAACGATACATCTTCTACACAAAAGGTTTATAGAGAATTACTAGTATTGGTATGTATATGGAAAAGTATTTGTCAATAAGAGGAGAATGGGAGAAAGGGTGGTTGGGTCAACTTCTATTGCTAGCAACGTGCATGAAGCAACAAATGACAACACTGATCCTTACAATAATATGGTTATAAATGCAATGAGAATAAATCAAAGTAATGTCAGTCAATGTCCAATTATGGAAGAAGAACCAAATGCAGATGCAGTTAGGTTTTTTTATTTGTTGAAAGATTCTAATGAATCATTATGGAATGGCTGCACGAACCATAGTAAGTTATCAACCGTAGCATAAGTGCTCATTATCAAGTTAGATCACGGGTTAAGTGAAGTCGTGTATGACAAGATTATTGAATGGACGAGAAGCATTTTACCTAAAGGGAACATGCTAAAAGAGAACTTCTATACTGCAAAGTCCATGATAAAACCCCTCGGTTTAGGATACCAGAAAATTAACATGTGTCCTAACTTCTACATGTTATACTACCCTTAAAATGTTGAGATGATCGAGTGCATAACATATGGGCATTCCAGTTACATACTAAGAACCAGTAGGGTTAATACTCTAGTGGCATAAAAAAACTTAGAGACTTCTCAATCACATTTAGACTGCAGAGGTAATTCATGTCATCAAGAACTATTGAGCACATGACAGGGCACCAATTACATGATGCGGTTGATCGAGTGATTCATGTCACCAAGGTCGATCAACTGCATCATGTGATTGGTGCATCCTTCTAACGGCAAAGCATGGAAACACTTTAACAGTATGCATCCTTACTTTTCACCTGAATCAAGGAACGTGTATCTTGGGTTGTGTACAGACAGATTCAACCTATTTGGGTCATTTGCTGCTTGATTAGTACTTAAAAGTGTATTTTTATCAAGGTTTTATATCATCATTTTGCACTTGAAATATCAATAACTCCTTAACGAAAGCATATTTTATACTAACATATCTAATAATATAAGATGCCTTTAATTTATGGTAAATGTTCATTTTAAATACAGGCCTATCATATAAATGAAATGTGTGGTTTCCAATTGAATAATAAGAGTTTATACTATACTTGTTTGACATACCATTAGTGGATCCTTTAACCTTGAAATTTGTTGTTATCATTGTTTAATCCTTAAGTTAATTTTTCATCTCAAAGTTCTCATTAACTTCTTCTTCTTCTTCTTCTTTATTATTATTACTACTACTACTACTACTACTACTACTATTATTATTATTATTATTATTATTATTATTATTGTTACTATTGTTGTTATTGTATTATTGTTATCTATAATTTATACAATTAACCTCCTTATGATTCGACCTCAGTTTTGCCGGGTTATTTATTACTTCGATATTCCTGCATTTAGGAGAAGATATCAATCTTTTGGTTGTGTCAAGTTTTTGACACCATTGCCGGGAGGTAAGTTCTTGTACAAATTATAGTATTTGTTTTTTTTTTTCAATTTTCTTGTTTATAACTTTGTTTCTTTTCTCTTGTTTTCTTCTTTCTTTTATTCTATTCATATATGTGCATGAGAGTGTGGTCATGTACATTAAATGATAGACTTTATAGGGTATCCTTATTATTTTCTGAAAATATGGCCGAAGAAGATAATCAATCACTTCATAATGAGAATAATGAGAATAACCGTGTTAGAACATTTAAAGACCACATGAATCCCACAAGAACAAGTGCACCATCATGCATAGTTTTTCCTCCTGATGCATCTCATTTTAATTTTAAGCCAGACATTATTCAACTTTTACCTTCTTTTCATGGTTTAGATTTAGAAAATCCATACTTGCATTTAAGGGAATTTGAGGAGGTCTGTAACACCTATAATGACTTAAATTGTAGCATAAACACCATTAGATTAAAGGTTTTTTCTTTTTCATTAAAAAATAAAGCTAAAACATGGCTACAAAATTTGAGACCTGGATCCATTCGTGCTTGGGATGAAATGCAACAACAGTTTTTAAAGAAGTTTTTCCCTTCTCACAAACCAAACTCTTTTAAAAGATAAATCACCACTTTCACTCATAAACTAGGAGAAACATTTTACCAATATTGGGATAGGTATTGAGACTTGCTTAATACGTGCCCTCATCACGGTTTTGAAACATGGATATTAGTTTCATATTTTTATGAAGGGTTAACACCTAGAGATAAACAAATGGTTGAATTGATGTGCGATGGAACTTTTAAAGATAAAGACCATGATGAAGCAATGGAGCACTTAGACTTATTAGCTGAAAATACTCAAAATTATGACACTGCAAGTACTTATGAGGCACCGAGTAAAACACAACCTCATACATTAGGGAACCTCCTTTGTGTGTGGTTTTCAATTGAATAACAAGAGTTTATACTATACTTATTTGACATAACATTAGTGTATCCTCTAACCTTGACATTTGTTGTTATTAATGTTTAATCCTTGCATTAATCTTTCATCTCAAAGTTCTCATCAACTTCTTCTTCTTCTTCTTTTTCTTTATTATTATTATTATTATTATTATTATTATTACTACTACTACTACTACTACTACTACTACTATTACTAATACTACTACTATTGTTACTGTTGTTATTGTATTATTGTTATCTATAATTTATACAATTAACCTCCCTATGATTCGACCCTGGTTTTGCCGGGTTATTTATTACTTCGACACTCCTGCACTTGGGAGAAAATATTAATCTTTTGATTGTGTCACTACTTCTTATTCTTGTTGA